AAAAAAATAATAAAAAATAAATAAATACATTTTACGCTGTTTTCAGTAACATCCCCTCTTGGGACCATTGGTGTTTTCCAAATTCTACCATGAGAAAGTTTCTAGTCTTAATGTAATAAAAGAGACCAAACCTTTTAAAGATACCACAGAAGACAACATATATGCGTTTATTTTCAAATGACTCATACACGTGTTGATGCTCAAAATTGTTTCATATCATGAAGACAAAGCTTCAAATTTGATGGAGGGGGGCGGTGGGGTAGCCTAGTGGTTAAAGCGTTGGCTCGTAACGCCGAAGACCCGGGTTCGATTCCCCACATGGGCACAATGTGTTAAGCCCATTTCTGGTGTCCCCCGCCGTGATATTGCTGGAATATTGCTAAAAGCGGCGTAAAACTAAACTCAGTCAGTCAAATCTGATGAAACATTATGAATTAGGAGATAAACGTACTGTGCTGGAAATTAGATGAATGTTAGGCAGAATTGATAGTCTCTAAATTTCATTTGGAACCGAACGCGGAGATAAACGTACTGTGTTGGGAAATTAGATGAATGTTAGGCAGAATTGATAGTCTCTAAATTTCATTTGGGAACCGAACGCGGAGATAAACGTACTGTGTTGGGAAATTAGATGAATGTTAGGCAGAATTGATAGTCTCTAAATTTCATTTGGAACCGAACGCGGAGATAAACGTACTGTGTTGGGAAATTAGATGAATGTTAGGCAGAATTGATAGTCTCTAAATTTCATTTGGAACCGAACGCGGAGATAAACGTACTGTGTTGGGAAATTAGATGAATGTTAGGCAGAATTGATAGTCTCTTAATTTCATTTGGAACCGAACGCGGAGATAAACGTACTGTGTTGGGAAATTAGATGAATGTTAGGCAGAATTGATAGTCTCTAAATTTCATTTGGAACCGAACGCGGAGATAAACGTACTGTGTTGGGAAATTAGATGAATGTTAGGCAGAATTGATAGTCTCTAAATTTCATTTGGAACCGAACGCGGAGATAAACGTACTGTGTTGGGAAATTAGATGAATGTTAGGCAGAATTGATAGTCTCTAAATTTCATTTGGAACCGAACGCGGAGATAAACGTACTGTGTTGGGAAATTAGATGAATGTTAGGCAGAATTGATAGTCTCTAAATTTCATTTGGAACCGAACGCGGAGATAAACGTACTGTGTTGGGAAATTAGATGAATGTTAGGCAGAATTGATAGTCTCTAAATTTCATTTGGAACCGAACGCGGAGATAAACGTACTGTGTTGGGAAATTAGATGAATGTTAGGCAGAATTGATAGTCTCTAAATTTCATTTGGAACCGAACGCGTAGCGTGAGGATTCAAATGATTAATCATTTTAAATCGGTTATGGTAGAATGGAGATCAACGTATTGTGTTGGAAAATTAGATGAATGTTAGGCAGAATTGATAGTCTCTAAATTTCATTTGGAACCGAACGCGTAGCGTGAGGATTCAAATGATTAATCTTAGAGACTATCAATTCTGCCTAACATTCATCTAATTTTCCAACACAATACGTTGATCTCCATTCTACCATAACCGATTTAAAATCGAACTCCTTCCTTCCACGGAAGACACTGCGAAATCCGGCATGGTGCGAGAGGCGAATTGAACTCGTCTGTGAAGGGAGTGGAAGGTGCCGTTCGTATTTTTTTAAACATTGCAACATATATAATAACTAACTACTGTTTATTCAATGCAATAATTTAATACCTAAGAGCTTGGTTTATATAATCCCAACTCCACACGACCGAAACCAGCCTATTGTTTTGCGTGCCGTGTTACTCTAACCCCCTGGCCACACTATATATACATATTTTTCTTACAGTTACGCAACAGTTTGAAATGGCTTACAGCCAGTGTTTACATTTGGAGTGACAGTGGAAAATACTAGCTAAGATAAATAGCGTTCACTAACATGAACATGTCAGTGAGCGCTATGTATCTTAGCTACAGCGCTACGGTCTGGCATGTAACTGACACACATCGACACCCTGCTGCTAACTTCCCGCTACCGGTACACATGCGCAACAGATGCGCAGACATTCGCCATGAACATTCTTAATTTTTATCTTATCTCTCACTTGCACATGTCAGCTCACAACATTGCAGAACACGTGTGTATCATTCGCGAAATGCGTGTCGTCATAAACTGGAACATTTGTTTCAACGAACATTCGGTATTGCCATGGACGACTTATAATTCATTCACTATATCGCATCATTCAAACGCTCTTTCACTTTCTTTCGGAATCGATGAAGACAGCTGATGAGAAGCAAGTAAACCATATCAGTGGAAATGACCAAGCTGTGCTATTTTACATTTCTGGAAATATTGTCCATGCTTTGCTAAAAAGAAGACAATAAGTGACCAAAACATCTAGGATTTAATCGATAGCCTCCATACAAGAACAGGGTACAAAGAAGGCTACATTCGGACATTTTCCAGATGGACATTTGTGGCTTCTTCCAGGCATGGTTCATCTCTAGAACTGAAAAAAGGAGATACACAATATTAATATTAAAGAAAAAAAATAATATGAAGTGTTCTAAATACTTGTTAAAATTATGCAATAGTTGGTTGCCAATGCTCTTTCAAACAAGGTCTATTTACTTACTCAAGATGGGAATATTGTACTTAATAGTAGGCTTCTCGAGAAGCCCTTCCCATAACTGCCGATGAAAACTTTCTTTTTCCTGGGCATCTACAAAACAAATGATAATTTTATGATTTGAATATAATGCTGAATTATGACTTCATTTTGTCACTTTTATTGTTGCATAAGACAGGCTGTTGGTACTGTCTAAGCCCAGGTAAACTCATAATCAAACTTCATTAGGAAGAATAATGATAACAACTGAAAAATACATTAATTGTAGTCATGATAAATAAGGACCTTTTGTACAAACATAATCATCACAATGAACTATAATATTAATGGAAATATGAACATTTATTTTCAACCGATTAGGTGAATGAGACTTTTGTAAAATGATTTAAATATATATTCGGGTCATGTTAAGAAACAAAATGAATGTTATGTCGTCTGCTACAATGTTATTGAAATGTTCGGTATACGACGCAAATATGGGTTTACGCCAAAATCATAAAACATATAATACTGATCGTAGCCATATAAATTTGTTACCAAGCAAAGAGGAAAGCGCCGTGAATGTTGACATATTTATTTAAAAATGCTAGTAGTAAACTATTCTTGTGAAAGTGTGCGAAAATCAAGTGTTGTGGAGTAAATATTTCTGAAAACATCTTATTTCGTCGCATTGCAGGAGTCAATATACGGACTTACGCGACAGCCACAGACTTATAAATGCCACTTAACTAATCTTTATCTTATCTGATTTTATTACACTCCGGTAACTAAGGATTTGTATTGAGATGTAGTAGCCGTTATTGAAAATCAAAATCGGGACTTTAGCCGATTTTACACCGCCGCCATTGTTCTCACAGAACAACGAGCACATTGACAGTATTCATTAAATACAAAGACAAATATATGCTTTAGAACCCTAATACACCTCAAGTACACTGTTGGAAATATAAGTATATACATGAGAATAAATGAAAAAATATTAAATCTTACCTTTGCAATGAAAATACGCGAAATCGATGACTGAAGTGAACCGACGTTTCGCCAGCTTCCGGATAGGCTGCGCAGTACAAGCCGTAGCGCTGATGGTTTTGCGCATTGGCTCGAGGGCCGACCCTCTATTATATGGTCTCTGCTGTAACTATTCAAAGATTTGTATGACCAGCGAGTGTGGATCATGATTTCACTTACAAACGCTGTAGGTGCCTCCACCCCGGCATGCGACGAAAACAGTGACAGTTCTGCTTTGTGTACATGTAACTAACTTGGGATTCCTTGGAACATTGTTTTCATCATTTGGGACTGGATTGTGGCCAAACTTTTTTCAAAGTGTACGAACAAAGATCACCAGCAGTGACAGCCTTGTGGGGAAGCTGGCAGAGAGCAGAATTCTGATGGTTCAATTTTGTACATGTATTTTTTTAACGATGCAACGGGACATGATGGAGTGTGAGTGTGGAGTTTTTTGTTTTGCCTGACCGTTATCTTGCGAATTTCCCATTCATATGATTCTAAACGGAAACAAATATACCATTTACCAGTAAGGTAAATGTTTAGTAAGGATTTGCTGCACATTTTGTATAGATAGGGATGACATTTACAAGGCTTTCTGATTTACATGTTAGATATTGTTTGTTTATGTTTGGGGCTGTGTATTGTAATTGAGTTTAAATATTTCTATTATAGAATGTTATATAATAGTGAGGTTCCCTAATAATTGTTGAGGAAAAATAATATAATAATTGTATTTTTCGAGTTTTAATAAATGTTTTATCAGCATTTCCATCACGTCTGTTGTGTTGATATTAGCCATGTTGGTGGTCAAGCTGATGCAGCAGTGTTGTATACGTGCGCAGTGAAGCGGTCATGAAATCAGACGAATTTTCAATCCAAAATTGATAGCGTCTAATTTTATTGATTGACCAATCAAAATCGAGCATTTCACGTAGCCATTGTAGAATATGTGTTTGTTGCTGTTATTCAATAATTCGGCAATATCCACATTTGGGATCACGCCATTTTCCTAAATCTGAATGAAAACAGTTTTCCAATCTTGTCAAACTGTTGAAATTATGAGCAATGTATCGTAATAGGCACGGGTTGATGACCGAGCCTTGTGGAACACCAGGTTGCTGAAACAAGAGCCGCATTCAATCAATGTATTGTTACAGTAAACCACACTAATGTGACAATGTCTGTGTTTTAAATGCTGCACACATGTGGTGAAACCTAATTCTTTTTGTAATGGCGGCTGAACATGCCCAAAACACAAGTATCATTAATTGATAGAAGTATAATTAATGATGATAAAATTGTGATTAAATTCAGTCACAGAATCAAGCCAGCCATTGTTGAGGGATGGAAAACACGACCACCCCGTTGTCTAACGGCACAGACGTGGACGGCCTTCCCCAGTATGTCGGCTTCATCTGCTGCGCAATAGCCTCCATCATGTACGGCACCAACTACGTACCTGTCAAGAAGTTCGAAACGGGTGATGGTAAGTGGGTGGGTGATGGTAAGCGGTGATGATAGGACAGTGGATGATGGTAGGCGGGCGGACGATGGTAAGCCGTGATGGTCGGACGGTGGGTGATGGTAGGCGGGGGAACGATGGTAAGCGGTAATGTAAAGACGGTGGATGATTGTAGGCGGGAGAATGATGGCAAGCGGTGATGATAGGACGGTGGATGGTGGTAGGCGGGCGGACGATGGTAAGCGGTGATGATAGGACGGTGGATGATGGTAGGCGGGAGGAGGATGGTAAGCGGTGATGATAGGACGGTGGATGATGGTAGGCTGGATGATGGTGGTAAGCGGTGATGATAGGACGGTGGATGATTGTAGGCGGGCAGACGATGGTAAGCGGTGATGATAGGATGGTGGATGATGGTAGGTGGGCGGATTATGGATGTGTGTGGGGAAAGTGGACCAATAGGTGATGAGAGCGATGTAAAGCGGAGGAGTGATACTTAGGAGATAATGTTACTTTGTTTTGAAAATAGCTTTTATAATAGCTCTAAATTTAACAGAAGGTTTAAAATATAAATTTAGAGCTATTATAAAAGGTAATATTAAGCGGGTGAAATACAAAGACAGTTAGATGTAGGTACACTTATGGACGATAGGACGGATAGGTTATGGCCAGCGGGTGAAGGATAAAGACGGATAGGTTATGGCCAGAGTGTGAAGGATGAAGACGGATAGGTTATGGCAAGCGGGTGAAGGATAAAGACGGGTAGGTGATGGTAAGCAGCTGAATGATAAAGACGGGTAGGTGATGGTAAGCAGCTGAATGATAAAGATGGATAGGTGATGTAAGCGGGTGAATGATAAAGATGGATAGGTGATGGTAAGCGGGTGAATGATAAAGACGGGAAGGTGATCGTAAGCACCTGAATGATAAAGACGGATAGGTGATGGTAAGCAAAAGGGTATTAGCTGTGGGTAATGAGGGCACATGAGTGATGGGTATGCTAGTTCCCTGGCTAATTCAGGGATTTCTTCTTTGACATATGAGATCCCCATTTGTTATTTTCAGGCATGTTCTTCCAGTGGGTGCTGGGTAATGGCATCCTCATCGTCGGTATGGTGATCCAGACAATCCGGCTGTCACGATTTTACCCCTTTGCCATGGTCGGGGGCTCCTTGTGGGCCACAGGTGGGTGCCAGACTAACATAACTAATCATGCCGTTGTGGTTCAAGGCCGGGAAGGCTAAAATCGTGACGTTTCTCGGTTCAATGAGCGTAGCCTTCCCGGTACTTGCAATGCAATGTTATGGCTGAACGAACACGGCGCGCCTCACTCTGACAAATTACAAAGAAAACAGGATTAACGTGGAGGCTCTTTAATTTTGGCACATGTAAAATATACACATTTTTCACGTCGGTGTCCTCCCATTTGTGAGAACTCCCAGTTGTGAGACACATTAATTAATGGTTCAGTGCACATAGGTGGTGTTTCCACATCCCTACAATGAAAGTGGGATCAGCCCAGCCCAGTACCCACAGGAGGCATAGTTCATTGATGAGTTGATTAATGAAATAGATTATCAAAGATTATATTTACACAGAAGAAATATTTCATTGAATATTTTATTTATTCAGAAGAATATGTAATTATGATAACACATTTTTATTGACTTTTATGAAGCTTGAAAGTCATGTTGGTTTAAACATATTTTATTATTGTTTATGAAAATGAATTGGGATTGGTGAAGTATTACTGCTTATGTTAACACCGTTCCCATGCAACATAAAATATAAAATGAAATGCAGGATGTGACGTCATCGATATTGACTATTGCATAAATATATTTTTAAGTACATATAAATATATACAGATAACATCAAATTCAATACAACTATTCTCTAAGTAGTCATAATTAGAGACTTACAGTTGTGTGTGTCTAACAAGCTATTGTAGGAATATAAATCAATCACGAGAAGGTTGTTGAGTTAATTTCAGTATTTCCCTGTGAAAATTTGAAGGTTGTGTCTTGATGATATAATCGTGGACGGATTCAACTATTTTCTGGTTTACACAAGGAGTAAATTGTTTGTTTCCGTTCAAAAAATTATCCAGGTTATAACGGGTAGTTGATATCCACAAGAGCAACATGCACTGTCTATTATACTGTCTGTTATACTTATCGGCGTTTAGGTCGCTAGATCCGAGCCTGAGGCAGCAATGAACGATTTGACAAAAACAAGAGCCATAATTAAGATCAATATAAATCTTGTTTTCGGTTTTTTTAATTAGGTTTTAAAATTCTTTGAGACTGCATGACTCTTTGGAATTTGGTAGGGCATTCCATAAATGTATTGTGTCGGGTAGAAAGGGTTTGGCATAAGGGGCATTTCGACTGTAAATTTCAGAGTTATTTCAGAGTTATTTCTTAAACTATAGCTTGTAGTTTCGGAGACGGTGTAAATCTGAGTAGGTAAATTAATTTCTCTTTGATCACGAAGTTACCTACACAAAGTGTTTAATTATTAAAGACATTTACCTGAGTATGTTAATTAATTTATCTTATTAAGTTTCATTAAGTTACCTCCACAAGATTCTGTTACATAGCAAATCAGTACTTATATTAGCTAGGGTGAATCCATTCTATCAGACAGGGGAGTATGGTGTGTTTTCGTTGTTAATTACCTACTCCACTGTCTCACAACTGGGAGTTCTCACAAATGGGAGTAGACCTTCACGTCTATTCTTCTTTATACATTTTCTTTAATTCGAAATTAAATTGTCATTTTCCATGAGTAAAACACATTTTTGTCAATCTACTTCGAGTTTACGACCAAAGTTATCAACGTTCCAAGCCAAGTTCATACAAAACATGTATACACTACGTAACCATGATTTATAACCATTATTTAGATCATTTAAACATTGATCTGCAAAATACGCCTGCAAAATTTTAATTGAATTTTTTCGAACTCAGAACGTTTCACAATACCCCACACTTCACAGCCATACATCATAGTAGAGGTAACAAAAGTGTCGAATATTTCACACAGGGTTTTCAATGAAAAGTTGTAACAAGTGACATTTTTAAGAAAAACATTCATAGCTTTATGACCTTTGCCTGCTAGAGTTCTATAAGCTTGTGTAAAGGAGCCTGTGTAAGAAAGCACTATATTTCCTTCGGTCGAAGCACTATATTTCCTCCGGTCGAATCTTTGCTCCTTTAGGAAAATCCATAATTCTACTTTTGTCTACATTATCGTTAAGGCCCCAGTCTTGGAAAGCGTATTAAGTGACAGCTGTAAACCTCCAGGTAATTCGGATATGAGCACCATATGTCGGCAATAGTAGTATAAAGGTTAATATAGCCAAGCAGCAATCTCGCGTCGTAGTTTCCTGTAAAGCCAGATTACTCACCATTGTGTTTAACACATGATTTCACAGTGTCATACAAAGACACAAAGAAATCTATCTACACCCCGACATGAATTATGCTTCCTGACACCGTATCTTTAGTTTTGGCGGTACTGCCCTACTCCCTTGGAAATTAGCTCTCCCGGAAATCCGAAATACTAGTATACATTTTAGCCTTCCCGGGACATATGAAAAATAAATTTTAGCTTTCCCGGCACGACACCCCCGTTTTCGTGGTTGGTTATTAGATCTGGGCCACGGGCGAATGACTTACTGACATGTCTCTTCCTTTGTCGTGGCTGGTTATTACATCTGGGCCAGACCCGTGAAGGTCCGTGTTAGAATGAACCTTCAGTAATCCATGCTTGTCGTAAGAGGCGACTAACGGGATCGGGTGGTCAGGCTCGCTGGCTTGGATGACACATGATTCCTGGGGTGGAAATAACTTTAAAATTGCTAGTGTACTCCGGTACAGTGGCACATGTAAAATCACTTGCCCTGATAATTTTTCCACTATACCGGCCGTTTTCTTGTTGATTTTTTTAAATAAACAACATAATTAACATTGGAATATCAACTGGACACAGGTACAGTATGATATACAAATTAGCTTGCCCGACAGAAAAAATACACTGGACTCGGGCGTCGGGCAATGGGTTATTTCCACCCGACGGACATGTCATCGGTTCCCAATTGCGCAGATCGATGCTCATGCTGTTCATCACTAGATTGTCTGGTCCAGACTCGATTATTTACAGACCGCCGCCATATAGCTGGAATATTGCTGAGTGCGACGTAAAACTCAACTCACATCTGGGCCACGGGTGAATGACAGAATAACATGTCCCTCTCCCGGTCGTGGTTGGTTATTACCTCTAGACCACGGGTGAATGACAGACTAACATGAAATCATTACATCTGTTAAATGCCACGAGCAAGTACGGTCAACTATTCATGTATATAAAAAAGAATTAAACCTTGATGAAATCTCACTCAAATGGGATCTAAGCTGTTGCTGCTGCCTCACGAAGATATCCCACCACAGGTCACGTGGGAACGGCCCCTCGCGACGTTTTGGCCGACCAACCAAATGATTCACAAGAAGTCAACATTAACCAATCAAAGCGCCGCTTTTTCGAGCTTTACAGAACAAGCTACAAGCTGGCGAATTCCGTCCCACACTATGCTTTCAAAAACATTCATTCGAGTCATTGGTGAAGTGACAAATATGGCCGAGATTTTAGGGCAGTAATTTCCACGTGTTACGAAAGTTTACTTTATTTTTTTCATCATTTTAAATATGTATTTGAACATTTGATTTTCATGAGACTGAGCAGCATATATCATTTATGCCAACAGATGCTGGAACTATAATAGGTATCGTTAGGCGTACATATACATTGGATATGTTTGGATGCTGGAACTATAATAGGTATCGTTAGGCGTACATATACATCGGATATGTTTGGATGCTGGAACTATAATAGGTATCGTTAGGCGTACATATACATTGGATATGTTTGGATGCTGGAACTATAATAGGTATCGTTAGGCGTACATATACATCGGATATGTATGGATGGATATACGGAACCATAATAGGATATACATATACTAGTACATCGGATATGTTTGGATGCTGGAACTATAATAGGTATCGTTAGGCGTACATATACTAGTACATCGGATATGTTTGGATGCTGGAACTATAATAGGTATCGTTAGGCGTACATATACATCGGATATGTTTGGATGCTGGAACTATAATAGGTATCGTTAGGCGTACATATACATCGGATATGTATGGATGCTGGAACTATAATAGGTATCGTTAGGCGTACATATACATCGGATATGTTTGGATGCTGGAACTATAATAGGTATCGTTAGGCGTACTTATACATCGGATATGTTTGGATGCTGGAACTATAATAGGTATCGTTAGGCGTACTTATACATTGGATATGTTTGGATGCTGGAACTATAATAGGTATCGTTAGGCGCATTGGATATGTATTGGATATGTTTGGATGCTGGAACTATAATAGGTATCGTTAGGCGTACGGGCGTACATATACATTGGATATGTTTGGATGCTGGAACTATAATAGGTATCGTTAGGCGTACATATACATTGGATATGTTTGGATGCTGGAACTATAATAGGTATCGTTAGGCGTACTTATACATCGGATATGTTTGGATGCTGGAACTATAATAGGTATCGTTAGGCGTACATATACATTGGCGTACATATACATCGGATATGTATGGATGCTGGATATATGTTTGGATGCTGGAACTATAATAGGTATCGTTAGGCGTACATATACATCGGATATGTTTGGATGCTGGAACTATAATAGGTATCGTTAGGCGTACATATACATTGGATATGTTTGGATGCTGGAACTATAATAGGTATCGTTAGGCGTACATATACATTGGATATGTATGGATGCTGGAACTATAATAGGTATCGTTAGGCGTACATATACATCGGATATGTTTGGATGCTGGAACTATAATAGGTATCGTTAGGCGTACATATACATTGGATATGTTTGGATGCTGGAACTATAATAGGTATCGTTAGGCGTACATATACATTGGTTTGGATGCTGGAACTATAATAGGTATCGTTAGGCGTAACTATACATCGGATATGTTTGGATGCTGGAACTATAATAGCGTTACGCCATATACATTGGATATATGTTTGGCGTGCTGGAACTATAATAGGTATCGTTGTTTGGATGGCGTACATATACATCGGATATGTTTTGGATGCTGGAACTATAATAGGTATCGTTAGGGGAGCCGAACTGCCAGTAAAGCATAATCGGCGTCGATGCTGGAAACCGCAACAGTACTGCCAGCATCGCCATATGCCTGCTGTCCAGTAATAGTACCGTTAGTACGCTACCACATTCCAGATATGGCCTGACGTCGAAACCATTACTTCATAATCGTCGAATGCCACGACATAAAATCGCATGGCGTTCAGCGCTTAAACCGCAAGAGGTCGCCAGCGCCATGCATCGCGGCGTCATAGTGCCGTGTCCGTTAATGGTGCATCGCGAAGTGCTTCTGGAGGTTTACGCCGGGTCCGATGGCATCGCCAGGCGGCGCATCGATATGTTTGGCTGGAACCATACAAGGTATCGTTAAAGTGCAGGCATTGACAGGCCGGATGCTTTTGGAACCGGTGGACGAAAGGCACGGAGGCGGCGATGTCCGGCATAATGAAAGGCATTTCGGCGGCGTCGGGATGCCAACGGCATAGTGTACCAAAGAAGCGCGCGTAATCCGAGAAAAGCGCATGCTGGAACCGGGTAAAATGCTGAAGTGCAGGCCACCGCCGGGGAAGAAGCCGGAAGCCAACGGTAGCAGGGCATTGCAGTACTTTGGGCCAGGCTGGATGCCGGAAACGGGTAATGAGTAATTGTTAAAGTGCTGGCACCTGGCACGCTGGGGTCCCGGCAGCCATCGTTAAAGTGCATACTGAAGGCGCCGGATGCCAACCGCACAGCATCGCCAGCGGCACGGACATGCCGGGCTGTCCGCAATGAAATCGCAGCGCGCAGGCTACCGATGCCCGTAATGCGCCGGTCCGCACGCCAGCGCCGGCGACCGGCGGCGCTTCTGGAACCAGCGAAAGTACCGCGAAAGTGCACCGGAGCGTCGGACGCCAAAGTCCGCAAAGGTATCGCGAAAGTGCACTGGTTACCTGGCTGGAAACCAACGAAACGCTGAAAGCATACTGAAGAAGGCCGGGAAGTGCCGGTCCGGCAGGCATACCGAAGCGGCACGAGGCAAGCGAATGCCAACCGCCAACAGCGTAATTCGCGAAGCGCAGCAATCGGCGGCGTCGGATGGCCAACGGCAATGTATCTGCCGCGTTTACTGGCGTTTACGCTGGTCCGCGTAATCGCGAAGCGGCGCGCAATGGCGGCGCCTGGAATGCCAACCGGCATTTAGCAACGTTGAAAGCGCCACGCACCGGATATGTGCGAAGCCAACGGTAGGTATCGCGAAGCGCACGCGACATGCCACGCCAACCGCGTTGAAAAGCACCGTGGTAATTTATGGCGTTAGCGCTAACCTGGCAGTATCGTTGAAAAGCCAGCATACCGGCGGCGATGCTGGAAACGAATAGGTATCGCAGTGAATGGATAGTGGCGATGCTGGAACGGTAAAGTAGGTATCGTTAGTGCAGCAGTGTGATTTATGAAGCCGAAGCGGAACCGTAATGAAGACGTTTGAAAGCGCATACGCTGACGATGCGCCGGATGCCGGGAACGAATAGTACAGCGCCACATGCACATCGATACGCCTGACGCCGGGAACGGCGCAATAGCATTGGTGCATACATTATATGTCGGGATGCCGAACCGTAATAGTATCGCGGAAGGCCATGGTACACCGATATGCTCGGAATGCCGGAACCATAACAGGTACTGAAGCGCCATGGCGATGCCAGATGTCGGATACGTGGAGTCCGGAATTGCCAGGCGCCATTGCCACCGTGACGGCGTCGGATGGAAACGGCGAAATAGTATTGTTGAAGCGCGACAAACATTTGAGGCGTTTGAAAAGTGAACGGTAATAGGCATCGCCAGTATACATTGCGATATGTTGGCTGGAACCAAGGTATCGAAAATCGTTTAGGGTGCGCGGCGCATCGGCGGGCGCGTTTGATGGTCCGGCGAAGGTAACGAAGCGAAGGCGCATGGCGTTGATGGACCCAGCGAAAATTGCGAAGTGGCATTGGATGGTGTCGATGCTGGGAACCATGCAGCGCTGAAGTACAAACATCGATATGCGCTCGAATGCCGGAACCGGCATGAAGACGCGAAATATGCTATTGGCAAATGGGAAGCGAAACAACAGGTCGCTTAGGCATTGGTTGCTGGATGCTGAAACGGTTAGGTAGCGGCAGCATTGGAGGCGTTTTATGCCGGTAACCATAATAGGGCGATAGTACAAAACATCGTATAAAGCCGGTGCTGCTAAACGGCACAGCGCATACGGATGCGTCGAGCGCCGGAACCATAATGAGTAATGAAGAAAGGCGGCGCACTGGAGGCGTTTTAGTTTTCAATCAGTAATAATTGCTGCGGCACTGGTTCTGGATGCCGAACCCAATGCATCGTTAGCGCTGGCGACCGGATGGCGGTTGAATATGAATGCGCCGCAAAACCGCGACGCATGCCAGTCGCAACATTTCATTCCCGCACCACGTCGTACGCCGCAAATCCAAACGAATTTTAAAACGAAGCGATCGGTACCCGGTCACCTGGCTTAATTACGCCATCACTCATTCCGGCCAAAGTGAGGTCCAGGCATTATTTCCGGGAACACCTGCCATTCCTCAAAGCAGTTAAAGTGTTCGTACCAGTGCGCAAAACATCCTGTAGCCGAACCTCATATTCACCACCACTCTTCCCCGGTAAACATCGTGGTTCTGACGGAAGTTAACTACCGGCCCGGTCTCAAATGGAAGCTCCCGCAGTCGTTTCGCCCGGCCAACGCGGCGCGTGCTGCCCGCCTTCACGCACTTGGTTTCGCTCGACGGTACCACTCTCGACGGTATCCGTAGTTGAGGACAACCGAGCAGCCAGGCCAAACCCGGCACAAGTAGCTGCCAGACAACGGAAAGAAAGCATATGGCGATGGCGCTATGGAGGGAAGCGGAGGTGAGAGGAGTGTGAGGTGAGGTGGAAGCGGAGGTGGAGGTGAGGTGAGGATCTGAGTAGACATCCCGAATTGTTGAGCACCATACTCATTTCAATTGAATGACAAGAGTGTTTTACCGTCGTCACTTTCAGTTTCAGTAATAAGCATTTAAAACTTTTGAACCAGTTTTTAACTCTTTGTTGATTTATCGATATCGGATATTGCATAGCCATCGATATATAATCATGAGATGTTGCAGGTTCGGGCTTGTGGGCGTCGACGCCGAAATCCCCAAAAACATCACCTTGAACTATGTTGGTGTGTCCCTCTCTCTCGTCAGGTAAAACAAGCAGATCTCTTCTGTATCTACGTGTGTGTGTGTGTGTGTGTGTGTGTGTGTGTGTTGGCTTTTGATGTGATCACTGTAGACGATGGATGTGATTTGTTTTGCTTGTGTACCACTAAGCAATATTCCATCTTTAAATAGTCGAGTATGGACCAGATAATCCCGGGACTGACATCTTGGGCATCGGTCTATGCAATTGGGAACCGATGACATGCATTAACCAAGTCAGCGAACCTGACCACCCGATCCCGATAGTCGCTTCTTACAGGCATAGGTTGCCGAAGACTAATAACTGGGATATTCGGTACTTCCGCCACAAACTGTGAAACATTCATTTACTCGTCGAGGCCAACTCAGGGTGTAAGTCTCCAAACCAGTGATTTGTGGAGTCCGTCTCTGCTCCTTCTTTGCAGCGCCTGGCTAAGCTTACTCTAATCACGATCGACAGCCAATGACGCTAACGTACAGGTCTCACTGACTGCAGGTACGTGTAAGTGTTGGCCTAGGTTCGGCGTGGGTATCAGTAGAGGATTTTTATGTGTACACTCTAGATGCAAGTGGAGTTGGGATGTGAACAGGTGTTGTAAATCTGGTTGTTGGCGTGAGATTGATATATAAAGACCTTTTCAGTTGCTTACTACAAGCATTATTGTGGTTGGGACATGTCAATGGGACTGGGGTAACATTTATATTTGTCCTTGCAGTACAGTGATGTATGCCTTTGTCAAGCCAGATATTCAACCTATCACCATGGAGTTGACAAGACCAGACGACGTGGCGGCCGACAGTAAGGTGAGTGAGTGAGTGAGTATTGTTTTATCGCCTATAGTGACTGGTTACTCCACAAACAGACTTCTCACTCTGTACGCATGTCACGTGGGGAATCGAACCCGGACTGTTGTGTGGGGTACGAACCCTGGAACCACTGTGCTACCCAAGTCTCACGTGTCGGTGTACAGGCTTGGGTAATTGCATACACCTCTACGTGGGTGGAGTGAGTGAGTGAGTGAGTATGGTTTTACACCGCTTTTAGCAATATTCCAGCAATAACATCAGAAATGGGCCTCACACATTGTTCCCATGTGGGGAATCGAATCCGGGTCTTCGGCGTTCCGAGCAGACACTTTCACCACAAGTCTACCCCTCCGCCCCGTAATGAAAATGTATAATCAACATTAACTCGAAGATAATGAAAACGATTATATTAGAAAATATTACTGTGATACAAATTAAATTTGATTGTGTTTAGTTAAATACCTAAATGCGCATAAATTTGATTTGATGTTTGTAGCCAATTTGTCAGACATTGAAAAAGTTTCTTCAAAGTGTTCCAGAATATTGGCTCTCAACAGATTACTCTTACCATGCGCACGTGTTCTATTCCTTGAAAACCTTGGCCATCAGTGGCAATTCCGTGTACAATATTGACCCCAACAAACCATGACTGTCACAAAAGGCGACTAATTGGATGGTTAGGGTTTGCGACTTGGTTGCTTGTTCGTCATCGTATCATAGTTGATGTTCACGATATCAGTCACTGGCTTGTATAGTTGAGAATCGATAATACACAAGCCTCTGTAATATAAGAATACACAGTGCCTTTTAAGAAAGTGGTCAAATGTGACATATGTTATTCTTGTGATTACACTATAAAGCACACTAACAACTAGTCTCTAAAATGAACATATTTTACAGAAAAAACGCTCATAGTAAATAAAAATGAAATATAATGAAAAGGAGCCCAGAGACTTTCTTCATTTTGTGGAAATCTAGACTTGCCACATTTTCTAGACTTGCGTGGGCTTTCTTGGATATATTTGCTTCAGGGTCTGTATGACAGACTAACTTTAAAGTACAGAGTATTGTACCTATTAGGGTTGAATCCAAAGCGGGATTCGAACCCACATTCGCAGACTGAAGCCATCACACACTACTATGAAGCTAGAGCATCGACACTGTTGTGCTGCGTAAACCAACACTCAAAATCCCATGGATAAGTTCCAGCCAATCATTTGTTGATGTCCTTGAAAAGGCGATCCTAACTCTTGTTATGCTTTAAATATGTATAAAAAGGGGCGTTGCCTAGTGGGTAAAGTGTTGGCCGAAGACCCGAGTTCGATTTCCCACTTAGGAAATGTGAAACCCATTTCTGGTGTAACCAGCCTTCATATTGCTGGAATATTGTTAAAAGCGGCTTAAAATCATACTCACTCACCCACTTACGATTTTTAAAGCGACTGTTTTTCCCTCTTGAACTTTTGAAAAAATCATCCATGTTGTATGTTTATGCAAATTTCCATCCTAACAACTGATATATTACGGTGTAATAATTAATTATTAATTATAATTTACACGTCCTACAGGGGATGTTTATAGAAAGATGGTCGCCTGTCAAGAAGAAGATTATGTATGTAAAATGTTTACCCTTCTAAACCGCCAGTTCAGTTGAAATATACGCATCAGTTTAAAAAAAATGTAAATTAATATCAATGCAAATTAAGACGAATACTGAATTGTGTTCCCTACTGATAAATAAGGTGGTTTAACTCACTTTTCATACTTTAGAAATACACAAATTGTGATGTGACAATTTTTTTATATTTTATCTTTAGCCAAATATCTATATAATATAAAATCAAATAACGCCATTCAGTTCCTATCTGCAATAAAAGGAATACTAGTAACCCTGCTAAAATTGAGCGGCATGTTTTGTCATATTTCCAGTGGGATTATTCTAGCTGCATTTTGCGGTGTAATGTCCGCTTTCCAGTTCATCCCGGCCAGATACCTGCAAGAACAGGAGAAAGACAATGGTGCCAGTCAGAACTGTGAGGATGTTGCACGTATTTGATACAGAGAACCATTGTCATTCCGGAAACCGTGTCTAGCGGACATATACTGTTTGGAACAATGAGACATAGATTTAGCGGTCACTACAGGTGATTCGACTATCTGCATACATGTTACTTTGTATTTATACGGGGTACAGTCCACATTAGCAGGGTTCCGTTGTATCAAAAGATCAGATATGAACTAGTTACAGAGGCAACTCCGTCACAGGGGTTTGTTGGCATATTCATTGTATAACAGACTATCCAGTGCGGTGACACGCCAGTGAGTTTGACCCCGTCATTCCGAAAACCCTGCATTGTGAGCGATTACTTTTGGAAAGGGCGAAATTAACACAAACCGATTCTAGCACTCATGACTATTCGTTAATCCGGACCATTTCAGGTGATAATGAGAGAATCCGGATTAACGGGTTTAATTGTTCACAATTCTATTCAAGCCATCGACTACGTGTTCGCTCACTTCTGCGGTATCTACCTCACCGCAACCGTCTACTTCGTCATCTACGCTCTCTTCCGGCGCAACCGGCCCAAGGTGTTCCTTCGGGTGATGGTCCCGGGTCTAGTGGCGGGCTTGATGTGGGGGGTAGGGACAGCCTCGTGGTTCATCTCCAACATGGTTCTCTCAGACCCTGTCTCCTTCCCTATCGTCTCTACCTTCCCTATGGGAATCTCGCTTCTGATTGGAGTGTTGGCCTTCAAGGAGATCAAGGTTGGTCGATGGTGTGAATGCGTGAGTGCATGTTGTTGCATGACGCAGTCAACAATAATCCTGATATAGCATAACAGCTTGTACTGAATCAGGTCCAGACAAACCAGTGATCGACAGTATGATCCATATGATCCACGTCAATGGGTCACTATGACCTTTGTTAGTCATGTCACCAAACCAGAGTCCCTTGGTGGTCACGAAGTCGAATATTCATATATCATCTGTCAATTACCTTCGTATTACTTTCAAAGAAACCCGTGAAGATCCGGGTTAGAATTGGTCTTCAGCAACCCATGCTTGTCGTAAGCGCCGACTAACGGGATCGGGTGGTCAGGCTTGCTGACTTGGTTGACACATGTCATCATATCCCAAATGCGTAGATCGATGCTCATGCTGTTGATCACTGGATTGTGTGGTCCAGACCCGATTATTTACAGACTGTCTCCATATAGCTGAAATAGTGCTGAGTGCGGCGTTATATACTCATGCCAATAATGGTTGTCACCCCCCTCCCCACCCCCACCCCCTCTCCAATTAAAAAAATTGAAGGGGGTGACAACCATTATTGGCATGAGTATATAAAAAACAAACACTCATTCAAAGAGCACCATGAGCACTATGAATTCAGTCGAAGCGCCCGTTAAAATCTCTGCATACATTAACATTTTTCTGAGGAATTGAATAGAGTCAAAAAAGTATTCTTCTTTTTGAATGTTTTGGTGTCTCTAGAATGAATCCTCAAAGGATAAATTCAGTGAACTAGATCCCGTTATTGTTTATAATGATCTATTTTCAAAACAATCGGAACAGGATAGGTTGGAATAATTATCACATTTCGTGTTTTTGTAGGGTCGTCGCAATATCATCATTGTTGTCGTCGCCATGACGTTCACCATAGCTGGGTCGGTAGTGGCCGGCGTCTCAAAGACGTGATCCCATGACAGCCGCGTCTGGTGTTGGGAGGCATGAGTACTTAACTAATCCTAATTAGAAATCAATCAATACAAAGTACTACTCACCTGAGCTTTTACTTGGACTCAAACAATTTTGCCTGCCTCTGCTGTGTGGCTGTGGTTATGTTTGCCTGGCGCTCTGTCTCCTGTTGATTTGGTCTCGGCAACAGTTGCCTTACAGGGACGTTTGCTACATCTGTAGTAAATCTGATTCTGAGTGACCTCCTGAAAGATGTAATTAAATAACGTTAATATAACGTCAAAAACAATAACATTAAATATAGAAATATCCAGGTATAGTATGGTTGATAAAATAGGATTAAGATGTAACAATACCTTTATTACGTAGGTGAATCCATTCCTGTCTACCAGCTTGGGTTTTGATTTCTGTGAGCCGTCCGATACCAACGTGTATGGAGGATCTTCCACCTCCCGCACCTCCACTAGAATATCCTCCTCCATTGATCTGGTATATCAATAAAAACTTGTGTTATTAAAATACATAAACTTGAAAATATATAATACATATAATTGTTTGATCGGCATTAAGTTATATGTTATACATTATGATGTTAAATATATACTTACACTTCCTGAACTTCAAGAGTGTCATCGAAAGCAACTGATGGAGCATCTATTGAAGAATCCAACTGGAGAGTGAAGTTGGGAATAGTTGTCTTGCATAAATGACACAAGAAATTAAATTCTTCTCCACTTCTGTATAAGTCTAGGTAGCCGTCACGAGTCACCCCTGTCCCACAAATCCTGTGTTTCCATGACTGACAGTGATCACACTCTAAGGCATGCTGATTTCTCCTTATAGTCTCAGAGCACTGCGCACACTGGACAGCCATGGTTAGTGTTGTGAATGTTGTATGTTGGGAAGCAGGTTATATACCATATTATCAATTGAAGTGAATGCATTAGTTAAGACACTGAGTCGACAACAACAACAAAAACAAACATCCCATACGGATTAGTCATGACACTGAGTCTCATGTTCAAATTCCATTGAAAATAACAAAAACAACAAACTAAACACTATTCATACTATTTTACTACGTAATTTATTAAATTATTATTTATTAAATTTTATTTTATTTTCGGCCCTTTTTTCGGCCTTATTGACTTTTCATTTCGGCCCATTTGACTTTTAGCCTCGGCCCTTTTGTCCTTCGGCCCATTTGACTTTTAGCCTCGGCCCTTTTGTCCTTCGGCCCTTTTGACTACAACCCCGGACTACAACATGACATGACGTCGCATGTCTAGGCTGTATGCTGATCTTTGTACTACTTTCAACACAATCTCGTTAAACTAACTTATTAGTAGTCGGTATCGCGTAACAAGGGTCTCAGGACAGCACATCACAGACCTCATCAGAACACCGTTTCGTGACCTGTTACCGATCAATGAAATGGATAACCGGAAGTCGACATCCGCCGATCAGAAAGTAGAGTTTTAAGGCTTTGGTTTTAACATGGCGATTTCCTAAGCTTCCAGACTGCACATATTTTAAGCCAATACATATTTTGACTAAGTTCACTTTTCAAAATTTGAAAACAGAACAAAATAAAATTCTGGGAATGTCTATCAGAAGGCCGATATTGTATAGCACTATTCCACGGGATGTGCGAAATCTTGCCCGTTTCACAGGTTTGTCCAATTACTTCCCGATATTATCATTCGGAATACCTCGTCTTACCGTTTTCAAGGTTGCATGGTCTGAAAACATATTCTTACTTCCGCTTTTGTGATCTCGTAAACGACGGATTGCTTTGTCGATAGAAAGGTCGCTCTGGTGTGATCCTTACATAACGGTATTTCTTTAGATATTTGTGTGGGGGTAACGAGCACCAAAATCGGAGTTTAATGAGATTACTTTTAAGAAGACGATATAACTGACTGACTGATTTTGGTTTTACGCCGCTTTTAGCAATATTCCAGCAACATCACGGCGGGGAACACCAGAAATGGGCTTCACACATTGTACCCATGTGGGAATTCGAACCCGGGTCTTCGGCGTGACGAGCCAACGCTTTAACCTCTAGGCTACCCCACCGCCCCTTAGACGATATAAACTGTGAGGAACGCACATTCTAATATAATATCATATTGGGAAATGATTCGGGTGAGATCTATTTGTTGTTGAATCGTTTACTATTGCAAAATCAGTGACAGAGACTAAATTAAATTACTAACTGATTTTTGTTACGCAACGAACAGATTGTGGTTAAACTAAAATGAAACTAAACTGAAATTATGTTTACAAAGAGTTTTTGTCTTATTGTCATTATCATTACGATATAATTACGTAACCATTACCTGCACTTTTCAGTAAATAGTATCGACGTTAGAACACGACCTTTACAGTCAGTGTTGAAATCGTAAATGATGAATTGTGAGTGAGCGAGTGAGTATGGTTATGCTATGCTTTGAGCAATATTTACATAATTTCACGGTAGGGAATGCCAGAACTGGGCTTCACGTTGTACCCACTGGCTAATCGAACCCGAGTCTTCAGATTGACGAGCGAAGGCTTTAGCTTCTAGGTTACCAACCGCCTTGATGGTTATGTATAAACTAAAAATGTGTTTGCGTGAATTATATTTCTTTTTTGTAATGTTGGTGTTGCATTCTCCCAGTAACTGAGAGCAATATACGCAGTACAATGACATCAGACAATTATGACATAACTGAGAAAGTGTACTTCATCGCAGGATTTTAGCATCTTTAATCTGCGTCTTTGAATGTGTGTGTGTATGAAGGAGTCAAAATGATATCTGTTAAATATGATTAAATCAATTCAAGGATTATTATTTTTTGTTACGTTTTGTCTTATTTCTGAAACCACCCCTAATTAAACCCCAAGTTGGATTGACATAGTTGGATTTGACATAGTCAAAGAAAGTGCAATATTCGCTGCTCACCATAAGTATGTTTGTTTGTTGTTTAACGAGACACTCAGCAATATCCAGCTATATGGCGGCGGTCTGTAAATAATCGAGACTGTATCTGACAGTCCAGTGATCAACAGCATGAGCATCGACCAACGATGACATGTGTGAACCAAGTCAGCGTGCCTGACCACCCGATCCCGTTGTTCGCCTCTTCTGACAAAGATGGGTTGCTGAAGACCAATTCTAACCCGGATCTTCACGGGTTTACCATGAGCGAGGGGCGTGTCTATATGCCAAATACCATAACCCACCGAGATGGTGTGACCTATATCTGACTGTCTCTTCGACGAACTTGCGAATATATTATCAGCACATAAAATTGTTTTGATAAGTGGTTCGAGGAAACAGCTTTTGCCATCAAGAAGACGTCTTCAAACTGCCGGTAAGGTCAGAAGCATGTCATGTGCTCTCGCCTTTTTGTTTTATGGCGTCATGTGTCGTCTAATTTCATCTATCGCCCAACCACATTATGCTATGATACCTTTATATATCTATCGCCATCACATATTGGTTCATTTTTGCGACCCTTGATGACTTTGAAGAAACGTCGACCGATTTGCGGAATTTGCAGTAAAGTATTAAAAAACAAACCAAGCATCAACACATAACTCCAAGTGAGGGAGTGAGTATGGTTTTACGCAGCTTTTAGCAATATTCCAGCAATATCATGGCGTGGGACACCCGAAATGGGCTTCACACATTGTACCCATGTGGGGAATCGAACCCGGTTCTTCGGCGTTACGAGCCAACGCTTTAACCACTAGGTTACCCCATCGCCCCTAACTAAAAGTGAAACGACGATGGGATGTAGAGTTGATAATATGGTGATCGTATGAGATACCATCCATCTGTGTCATCAGTGACAACCCTTTTATCCTAAAGTGTCTGATTAAAACGGGTGATATAAACCTAGGGACAAAATACCCTGTTGTTCTTGTATGTAACAGAACGTTAGAGTTTGTAATAAGTGATGATGTATCACACCTGTAATATCTGGTAATTTGGACGGGTAATTTTGTGTAATTTGAACTGTGCAAAAGGTACGAAGCGTTTGATACTAGGTTAAAGTAAATTAGTGAGTGTGTGTGTGGTTTTTCGCCGCTTTTGGTGGCGGTGGGGTAACTTAATCGCTAAAGCGTCCGCTCGTCACGCCGAAGGCCCGGCTTCGATTCTCCACATGGGTACAATGTGAGATGATCATTTCTGGTGTCTCCCGAGTGATATTGCTGGATAATTACGGCGCAAAACTAAACTCACTCACTCACTTTGACCACTGAATAGTGTTTCCAGTAGGCGTGAGAACGACGGGTTAGAAGGATATTAGAACTAAACTCGCTCAGTGGCACATGCTCTGAAAGTTGTGATTTTAGGGCTTCAAAGAAGTTTTAATTCTTGGCAGTGAGCGAGTATAGTTGTACACTGCGTTAGACAATATTCTAGCAATTTCGCGGCGAGCTGCACTGATGCTTCTTGGAAATTAAAGCAGTAATTATATTTTCTCCGTTAAATTTTCCAGTTCAGAAAGTGCATCCAATGACGCTTGTCGTGGCGTTCTTTAAGTGGCGTTTTAGAAGTTCGGAAGTACAATGTGGACAACTTTATGGATGAAAAATTCTTTTATATCGTGTGAGATTCCTGTAACGTTTTGACACTGATTCTTGTACCGTTGTCAAGAATCTGTATCGAAACGTTTAAAAAATCTCTGTCAAAACGTTACAGGAATCTATATCGAAACGTTACAAGAATCTGTACCGAAACGTTACAAGAATCTGTATTGAAACGTTACAAGAATCTGAATCTAAACGTTACAGAATCTGTAAAACGTTACAAGAATCAGTATCGAAATTGTAATTGAAGCGTTACAGGAATCTACACGAATCTGTATGGAAACGTTACAGGAATCTGTATCGAAACGTTACAAGAATCTGTATGGAAACGTTACAAGAATCTGTATCGAAACGTTACAAGAATCTGTATGGAAACGTTACAGGAATCTGTATCGAAAAGTTACAAGAATCTGTAT